TCCGCGCGGCACTAGGGGGCAATGCGGGTCCAGCCAAGACGCCCGCAGCCCCGACGCTGCCACCCTGGTCAGCCTGGAGGCCGCCCCTGGTGCAAGCCTTCTGCTAGGAGGGAGAAGGGGGCGGGAGAGGCGGAAGGGGACAGACCTGGGCGTGGGGATTCCCGGTCACCCAGCTAGAGGTGGCCCGCTGGGAATTTTTTTTCTTTTTCTTTTTTCTTTTTTTTACTAGTCACTTTTCATTTTCAGAAGTCGGGTGGTGGTGCTTACCTGTAAGAGGGGACGTCTGGAGATAGGTCCTGGATTGAACGGGATATGCAACTTGTCTAGTACCTAAAAGAGCAAGAATTGCAGGATTAGGCTGGTGAGAGGGATTGAGCCAGATCTGGGACCACGCAGCCCCAGTCTTATCTCCTCTGGGAATTTCTTTGGTCTCTATAAGTCCCGGAGGTTTTCATTCATGCGCTTGCTTTCTCAGGCTCTCATTCATCCCGACGGTTGTGACTGGGCATCCGCTGCCTGTTCCCGGCTGGTTCTAGATGCTGTACGCACGACTACGGAACAGAATAGACCCAGACTCCTGCCCTCCAGAAGCTTACTTTCTAGAGGGAGGAGCTGGACAAATGAATAAGCAAATTAAGAGGTGCTATTGGAATAGATGACAGGTGTCAGGGAGAAAAACGAGTGCTTAGGCCGTCAACTGAAGAGGTATCTGAGTTGCACACTGGTGGGAAGGAGGGGAGAAGCTAGTTGAAAAGTTGGAAGTCTGGGATCAGGGAGGTCAGAGACCTCCAAGGATCTGGAGAAGGAACTTTGAAGATCTTGGTTATTTGTTGATTCTTTTTTTTCACTCTTGCTGCCTGATATCCGTGTTGACGTTTAGAATGGACACACTCCCAGAGGTAGGTAAATGGCACTTAGGAGGAAAGTTTGGGAGGAAGAACTCCAAGAAAGGACCTTATGTTATTTAATAATTACCCACACGTATTATGTCCTAGACGGTGTGCTAAGTTCTTTTTGCATTTTCTCACAGCCCTACCAGAGAAGGACTTTTCTCATCATTTCTGTTTTGTTGCTAGGACTCTGTGTCACAAGGAAGCTTAACCCTTTGCTCAAGTCCACGTAGCCATTGAGGGGAGGAGATGGGAATTGAACCCAACTGTGGGGTCCATTCCAAAGCTGAGTATTTAGCTGCTTTGTCATAGTCCCCTCCGGCCTGCCCTGGAGGGAGATGAAGTGAATGTTACTGACGGACTGTCTTCCAAGTAGTAAATCTGGGGTCCTGAGCAACTGTGCTGGGAAGGAGCTCACATTTTTTGGGCTCCTACTGATAGCGAAGGATGTACTCATTTTCTTTTACTCTTCGGAACAGTTTTTTAGGGGAGGCATAACCTTCTCCATTGACAGATGAAAAGCAGTGATTCAGAGTTAGATCCCCAAGGCCACATGGCTGGTAGGTATGGGTCCGAGAAATGGGCAGGGCAGATGGAGATTGAGAAGCAAAGCCTAGCATTTCCTTTTTTTTTTTTTTTTTTTTTTCTATCGTGTG